CTGGCCTGGGGTGGGGAGGGAATACCTCAAGCATGGGGATGGCTAGCCCCATAGAGGCCTCTGCCTTCAGCCTCAGATTGTTCATCCTCTTGGACTCTCCTTCTCCTTTTTAGTAATGTTTTTAATTAATGTTTTATGTATTTATATATATTTATGTTTTTAAGAAAGGCTCCATTTATGTATATATGTATACATATATACATAAATGGAGCCTTTCATAGTAATGTTTTTAATTAATGTTTTATGTATTTATATATATTTATGTTTTTAATGTTTGTTGTGAATCGCCCAGAGTTCCCCCATTGGGGGGAGATGGGTGGTTGAAAAATTTAATAAATAAATAAATAAATAAATAAACTTGTAAATGCTTGAAATATATGTATACATATATACATAAATGGAGCCTTTCACAGTGAGTCCAAATTACAGTCCAACTACTTATGAGACACTGCACATTCTTTTCCTAAAACAAATACATATTTCATCCAAATATAATAGATGAGGGGTGGGGATGGGGAGACAACTAGGCTGCAGGAGTGCGGATGCGATAAGAACTTGCTGCTGTCATCTTATTAAAAGTATTTAAGCAGTTGAGTTCTCCAGTGTAGGAAAAGAAAAACATTTATATATTTAATTTACTTTGTTTTTTTTTCCAGGTTAAAAAAATCACGTTAATTGCAGGAAAGATGTAACACCCACCCAACAATTCTTGGAGACAACATACAGATGGTACAAAGTAAAGGCTTGGATTTGTTGAACTATGAAACTCAGGGCAAATAAAGCATGTAAGTGTGAGAATTAAAAAAAAAAAACAAGAATGTACTGTATAAACCAATGTATTAGGTTAGTGTAATGAATAGTTCATAGTAGTGAATGAAGAAATAAGAATTAACGATAAATGCATTGTGTAAGAAACTGGAAATTCCTGTTTCCCTCATATGTATAGATAGGGTTTGTTTTACAGTTGACTTTTAATGGATTAATTAATTTTAATTATTTATGGGGTATTTTTAATTGTTTATGGGTTTTTGATTTTAATTGTGAGCCGCCCAGAGTCACCCATTAGGGGAGATGGGTGGCATAAAAATTTAATAATAAATAAATAAATATTGATATTGATATTGTAATGCTAGAAGTCATTTCAATTCTTTATTAAAGCAATAGATTTCTTTGGCCAATTCTGTTACAAAATAATGAGTAAGATCTCTTCATCAGACAAGATGATAAAAAACAAAAATTGAAAGTAGTGTAGGAAGAAAAGAACGTGGCTGATACATAAGCCGTATCTACATTCCGTAACAGTCTTAAAATGTGGACATTATATGCATAAGATTACATGGTTTCAATATACACTTTATGTACCTGTAAAGTTCCTGGTTATACTTGTTCTGTTCCTCAAAATTCCTCATTTCTCTGTATTGTTTCCAATAACATTTTCTGAAGGCTTTGCGCCTCTGGTGGAGGATATGAAAACCTTCCTTGATCACTTCTGCATATGTTTGGACAGAATCAGTGAATTTAAATGTAAAGGAAAATTCTACTCAGATTTCTTTTTCTTAAGTAAACCACAAAGAAAAAGTAATGGGTTCCCCACACCCCAAAATATTTTGCTAATGATCTGGGGGAAAAAAGGGCAAATTTATTGATGAATATTCTAGATACTGGTTTTACACATTCTTTCATTTCTGAAGAATCTCTTCATTCTGCAGTTGCTTGAAATTATTTTAAGCATGTACACAATTCATATGGGGTCTTGGCAAGCCAATTTGGCTAAATTGCTTACCAGAAGACACATACTGCTCTGAAGTTATATATTATTTCAGGGGAAGATACATAATACTGAGCAGAGTTGTTCTTTATGAATGTTTGGTTACCATTATTGAGTAATCCCTCATAAAGTTTAGAGAAATGATAAGATTCCCCCAAAACCAGTTAGAAAACCACTCTTATCTTTAAATTGACTCAATGGCTTATCATTTTTTAAGTTTACAAAGATTAAACTTTTACTTAATAAGTCAAAACATTTAAATTCAAAGGAACTTGGATAAAACTCTAACCTACACATTTATGTGTAAGTTTAACAATGCATTTCTTAATAGATTATACTGACAAAAATTATATTAGAGAGCCATGAAGCTCAGTCTTAAGAATTTTCCATCAACACTTCTTTTCTGAACATCATAAGGATATGGCATTGGTTTGCATATCTCCCTCCTAGACAGAAATATGTCACATCCCGATTTTGATTCAGCACACTGTTTCTGGAAGAAATGTTGAATTAGTGGGCTGTGACCACTAATATTGAAGCGATGCCATGTAAACTCAGGACCACGGCAAGCTGGGTGTGACTAGAAAGTAAATAAACACAGCTATTAGTGATTTTGGGCTAGATCTATTACTACAGCAACATTCAGGATGAATAGTTTTTATCCGGGCATAATTATCTTAAGTGAATAATTATGCCACAACTTTGGCAATATATTTAAAACTGTTCACAATGGTCACTGTTTAGATCTTGCTTCTGTATAGCTGTTTCTAATAACATATTTTATATGCATATATTGGAAAATCTGTAATCTGGATAATTTTCTTCTTAAATTCTCTTATGAATTTTGGTAAATAACGTTCTTCATATATATGAATATTCTATTCAATATCCAACATATACTAATCTTAACTATTATATAAAACAAGTTACTGCATCTAAATGCAGCGAGTCTTTCTATATGAGTGATGCTTATTGTCAGGCTGACTCTGAACCCATCACACTCTCAAGGAGGCTGCTACTGAATATGAACCAATTTAAAACATAATCTTGAACAGCTCTCTGATTTGTAAAACACATCTGTATCATTAGTTCATTTTAGACAAACTATTTTCATTGTCTTGGAGAGAGCTGATTTCTTTTGCCTCAAAATAAATCAAGCAAATATTATGTTGAAATAATTGAAAAGCATTAAGTTATTAAGTCAAAGGCTAATTTGGACAGGAGTAAGGAATAAATTTTTATTTTACCCAGAACCACTAGTAATTACATTATTTTAACATTTTTATTATTCATAAATGATATCACCTCTCGAGGAAGCAAAGTTATCTTTAATTTTTGAGGGGGTAAGTTCTGGTGGCTGCTCCATACATCTTTCTCACTATCCTCTTTAAGCTGGTCAATACTTGATGCAGCATGCTTTATTTCTAAAAAAGAGCATCCATTTGATAAGTATTAATCAGTTATGTATTTATTAGGAATTATATATTCAAATAACCCATCAATAAATAAATAATATGCATAGTTTACTTTCCAAAGGAGTGATTACTCTTAATCAGGTATGGAAGAAAGATGAGCAAATATGCTGTTCTATTAGCAGATCAGAGTCAGGGCTCCTTAATATATTTCATTGAGATTGTAATCTTATGCTTTCTTATACAATTCCAATACTCAAGATGGCTTTTAAAAAAATACGAAGCAGAAAACAACAAAATTAATACAATTAAAACCAAAATTAAAATCAGCCATCAAAATAATTGACAATTAAAAGCTTGGTGAAAAGGATACATTTTTACCATCTTCCTAAATATTGGAAGAGTGAGAGTCTTCCTTAGGGAGCATATACTATAGCTTAGGAGCCACATTCTCTTTCCCATATACCTGATAGTTGACGTTCTGGCAGTGGGAACATCTTCAGAAGAGCCTCCCCTGCTGATCTAAATAACTGTACAGATTCACAGGTACAGATGTCGTCCACAGATGTTTTGGCCATAAGCTGTTTAGGGCTTTAGAGATCAACATCAGCACTTAAATTGTGCTTGGGAGCCAATTAGCCAGAGCAAAATGTTTAATACATGCATCATATGATCCATGTACTCTGCACAGATTAGCTGGTATGAATATTAGTATTATAATAATAGTTATGTTTTGGATTAACTGTATTTATCATACTGTATGTTGCCTTGGCTATGTTTCCATTATTCCTTTACACCACTCAGGCTCCTTGAGGTTTAAAGATGTCATAAATAAATAAGTAATTGAGTGATTAAACTTGTATTACTATTATTTCTTTACTTATTTATGACATCTTTATAAACGTAACAGTAGCTGAAATGGGTTGTATCAAGGCCTGAATAACTGTCACTAGGTCCAACTGGTTCAGGAAGAGCTGCAGTCAGCACTCTAGCTGTAATTGTGTTCCTTACTACAGCCTCCACCTGCAAATCCAGTGACAGTTGGGAGTCAAGGGGTATTCCCAAACTGAACCTGTCTGTTCCCAAATAGACACCAATTGCCAGTTACTGGTTTCTTACAGCCCAAACAGCCATAACAATCTTATAGAGATTAATAACTATTTCTGAAGAACAACAGAGTCAAACAGAAGATATTAGCAAGAGAAATCAGAAAAAACTAAAGGCAGCAATAGCACTTGGAAGTCTGCTGAAACACAGACAACCAGACAGACTAGAGAACAGGCTGCCTCAGTTCGTCCTGCTGATTCCTCTTACCAACACCACCCTATCAAAGGGAAAGGAAAAACTAAGCAGACAAGAGCTTTGTCTGGGTAACTGGCTACTGAGGTGGAGTTACAAAGCCATCAAGCTACTGTAGCTGAAGTTCAGGAGCTAGGAAGGGGGATGAAGCAAATTTTCTTGTAATCAATGGGGAAGTAGATAGCATTTTTAAAAACAACTGTAGCTTCACAGAATTTTCAGTTACATAGAAGCTGACCTGAAAATAAATCAGCTCATCTTCAACAATGCTGATGCTATGGAAGCACAACAGTCTAGAACTTCTGTGCTTCCACAGAATCCTTAGGAGAAAATGCAGTATTATATGATCTAAAAAGCACAGAATTGCTTCTCTGCAATACAAGGTTACCCTCTTGTGAATTCTCTACAAATCAACTAAGTAGCACATTTGTATCTTTCTGTCATAGGAATACGGTTAGGTGATATATACAAATAACATACTCTTTGTAATTGGAGCATTCTACATTATTATTGCTTCCTTAATCTGTAAAAATCCCACATATACATTGTTAAAGTAGGTATTGCAGAAAATTCTGTGTATATTACCTTTACTTTTCAATGTGCTAACTTTTTTGGAAAGCTGCTTTTGATCTTTTTTCCCAGATACAGTTTTCCTGGCTTTTTTAATGAATATGTTAAATGCTTTTCTTGAAGGAATCTGCTTCAAGATCAGAAGATGAAGAAAACTTGAATATCACATCATATCAGAATATCAGACTTTAGAAAAGAGAACTAGAGGTGTCTTACAGTATGATGTATGGGTTGGCACAATTTTCAAAGAAAAATAGAGTTCAAATGGTGTAGATGAGGGGGAAGACTTTAGAAGGGTAGTAAGGCATTACAGAAGGAGTAGGTATCTTGGCATTTTTCTTTAAAGACCCATTTTTCTTTGAACACCCACAATAATGTGGATCTTTTATTGAACTCAACAGCGGTAAAACTGTCCCAGGCAATTTTGTCACAGGTATTATCCAATAGGTGCCTGTGATAAAAGATGAACTATTAATGTTGATAATGGTAATTATCAATGTTAATAGTTCAGCTAGTTCAGTGCAGGTAGTTTCTCTTTCAAAGGAACTCTTGTGTTGTCCCACCTCTTCACTCTTTCCCTTCTCTGTTGAAGTCAAGGTGCATAGGCTTAAACTGAGCAAAAACTGGCTTTTTTTTCTCTCTCTCTGAAAACAAATGTGGTGAGGCAAGGATAAGAATAGAGAGGAAAGACCATAGGCTGATTTTTGCTCTCCCCTTTGGTCAACTGGAAAGAGCACTAATTAGTTCATGGAGAGGTTGGTAGCAGTGAGCATTTGAGGGCTGATGCAAAAATGTTTCTGAGGAATTGGGAAGTGAAACTGATGACTATGGAGAAATTCCCTAACAGTCATCCATGTAGCCACTTCACTATATATTTGGAAACCTAAGATCCCTTGCTCTTTGAAAAGAACAAGCCAAATAATTGTACATGATTCCTTGCTGCAAAAATTGTTTTGATTTTTTTGGTAAAATCATATTCTTAAAGGGCTAATTGACATGAAATCTAGCCTTAGCATTTGGTAAATTCTTTTCTTCACATTCCAAACAGAATAGAAATAGAAATGGCTGTATCTCCAATACTAATAGATAAACTAATTCATATTTTACCTTCTGAACTTGCAAGTGAGCTTTTCCCTTTGAACTGTATTGCTTGTAGCTCTCAAAGGGAACATCAGTGTCTATAGAAATGAAAGAGCCTTGAAATTTAATGAAGAAAGCTGGAACTATGGCTGGTGTGGGTCTTCCGGGCTGTGTGGCCATGTTCTGGAAGTTTTGTTTCCTAACGTTTCCCCCGCAATTTGGGGCCGGCGGCCTCTTGGAGACAGGCGAAACGACAAAGAGTAATCATCCCTGCGTCCACGCTCTCTCTCTTGATCGACTCC